AGGCAATCTACAGAATGGGAGAAAATTTTTGCAATCTATCCATCTGACAAAGGTCTAATATCCAGAATCTACAAGGAAGTTAAACAAATTCATAAGAGAAAAACAAACAACCCCATTAAAAAGTGGGCAAAGGACATGAACAGACACTTCTCAAAAGAAGACATTTATGCGGCCAACAAACATGAAAACAAGTTCAACAACACTGATGATTAGAGAAATGCAAATCAAAACCACAATGAGGCCGGGCTCGGAGGCTCATGCCTGTAATACCAGCACTTTGGGAGGCCGAGACGGGCGGATCATGAGGTCAAGAGATCGAGACCATCCTGGCTAACACGGTGAAACCCCGTCTCTACTAAAAATACAAAAAAATTAGCAGGGCGTGGCGGCAGGCGCCTGTGGTCCCAGGTACTCCGGAGGCTGAGGCAGGAGAATGGCATGAACCCACGAGGCGGAACTTGCAATGAGCCGAGACTGCGCCACTGCACTCCAGCCATCTATCCATCTGACAAGGAACTTAAACAAATTCTATCCAGAATTTGACAGAGCAAGACTCCGTCTCATTAAAAAAAAAAAAAAAATCCCACAATGAGATACCATCTCATAATAGTCAGAATGGCAATTATAAGAAATAACAGATGCTAGTGAGGCTGTGAAGAAACAGAAACGTTTTTACACTGTTGGTGGGAATGTAAATTAGTTCAACAGTTATGGAAGACAATCTGGCAATTCCTCAAAGACTCAGGACCAGAAATACCATTTGACCCAGCAATCCCATTACTGGGTATATATCCAAAAGAATATAAATCATTCTATTACAAAGATACATGCATGCGTATGTTCACTACAGCACTATTCACAATAGCAAAGACATGGAATCGACCCAAATGCCCATCAATGATAGACTGGATAAAGAAAATGTGGTACATACACACTATGGAATACTATGCAGCCATAAAAAGGAAACGAGATCATGGCCTTTGTAGGGACATGGATGGAGCTGGAGGCCATTATCCTCAGCAAACTAACGCAGGAACAGAAAACCAAACACCACATGTTCTCACTCGTAAGTGGGAGCTAAACAATAAGAATACGTGGACACATGGAGGGAACCACAACACTCACTGGGGCCTATTGGGGAGGGGAGGTCGGTGGAGGAGAACATCAGGAAAAACAGCTAATGCAGGCTGGGCTTAAAGCCTAGGTGATGGGTTGACAGTTGCAGCAAACCACAATGGCACATGTTTACCTATGTAACAAGCCAGCACATCCTGCACATGTAACCCAGAACTTAAAATATATAAAAAATAAAATAAATTTACATGAAATCCCAAAATGTTTACAAGGCAGCATATAAAACTATTTGCCATGACCTCGACCATGTTAAATATAATGATGTGCACAGAAAAGATACAGGGAAGAAATAAGCCGAAGTGTTAATGATAATAGTTAACAATGATTATTTTTTAGTTGTGGGATTAGGGTAGTTATTATGACTTTTTTTTTTTTTCCCAAGACAGAGTCTTGCTCTGTCCCCCAGGCTGGAGTGCAGTGGCGCAATCTCGGCTCACTGCAAGCTCCGCCTCCCAGGTTCGTGCCATTCTCCTGCCTCAGCCTCCCGAGTAGCTGCGACTACAGACGCCCGCCACCACACCCGGCTCATTTTTTGTATTTTTAGTAGAGACGGGGTTTCATTGTGGTCTCCATCTCCTGACCCTGGGATACGCCCGCCTCAGCCTCCCAAAGTGCTGGGATTACAGGCGTGAGCCAGTGTTTACAGTGGGTATAACAGTTTTATACTAATTTAAAAGTTGTTTGAAAAATGTCTACATCACCGTTGTCTCGCCTTCCTTGCTGTTACTTCAGTGTGGAGGGGACAGTCCTGGAAGGGCTTAAAAGCTGGCTGTTTCTTTCCATGCACAACATTTAGGCAGCAGTACTAAGCTATGACCCGAGCCAGTGGATGCACATAGGTTGGAAGGAAATGGAGTGTTACGTGTATTTACTGGCCATAGGAGGCTCTATTTAAGGCAAATGGGTCCTGTACATTGATACCTGGGCACAGGCTAAGTAGATCAGGAAGACTGAAGATAAGACTCTTATTTGGTCAATTGTTTTTTAAAAAAAAAAAATAGCCCAAACTGCCCCAGGTGTTCTGAGTGCCTCCCTTCACCAGCTGTCCTCCCATCCTCCCACTCCTGGTCCTATAAGGCAGGAACCTAGAGGCACCCCTGGCCAACACCTGCTGTGAAGGATTTGGAACAGCACTCTTAACTGGGGGCTCTCTGGATAGGTGCCTAGATTTACACAGGGAAGCTGTGGAATCAAGTGTAATATTTTCTGGGGAAAAAAAGTTAATCTGGAAATGGAGATAGGTGTGTCTAGAAAAGTGGGAGTGAAATTTATGATCCTGACCCACAGCTACACCACACTGCCTGCCTGGGAGGTGCAACAGCACTGAAAAGGAAATTGTGGAAAACCTGTCCTCGTGTCCCTCTGTTCTGTTAACCCAAGGTTCTGTGGGGGACTGTGGAGTTTCCGAGTGAGGACTGGCCTTCACGGGTGGGGTAAGTGACCAGTGCTGCAGGTGCAGCTGTGTGGAGACCAGGCCACCACTCCACTCCCTTGGCCCCCAAGGGAAGGGAGAGTGGGTCTTGAATCTCAGCAGCAAGAGGTCAGGGGATCCTCGAGGAGCTGGTGATGCCCCCAGAGGCTTTCACAGCCAACTCCCTCCTCGTGCAAATTAGGAATTTTTTATTTTATTATTTATTTATTGAGACGGAGTTTCAGTGTTGTAGCCCAGACTGCAGTGCAATGACACGATCTTGGCTCACTGCAAGCTCCGCCTCCCAGGTTCATGCCATTCTCCTGCCTCAACCTCCCAAGTAGCTGGGATTACAGGCGTCCGCCACCATGCCCGGCTAACTTTTTGTATTTTTAGTAGTGAGGGGGTTTTACCATGTTGACCAGGCTGGTCTGGAACTCCTTACCTCAGGCCATCCACCTGCCTCAGCCTCCCGAAGCGATGGGATTACAGGTGAGCCACTGCGCCCAGCCTAAATTAGGAATTTTAAACAAGTCACTCTCACGGTGAACTACTACTTCAGACCCATTGGGCATGTTTTACTCATTCATTTGTCCATTCTGCAGGACAAAGTCTGACAAATCTATTAGGTGTAATGAGAACATAAATGAGGAACCAAAAACAAAACTTCTATTACAACGAAGAATGGCTATAAAGGCACCTAAAACATACCTACTACCTATCCCGATATTGATATTTAAAATTTTTTTCTCCTCTATGTAACATAATTTCAAAATACATCTTGGAGAATCCTGGAAACAGTAAAATACTTAAGAGAAAGAAAGGAAATAAGGAAGGTCTTTTGTGTAAATAATACATGTAAAGCAAAAGGCACCCAATAAATACTGCCTGGTGTAAACTATTGTCATTTACGATTGGTTGTCTATGAATTCTCTGAATTCTCCATAGAGGCCACTTATGTGATTCTGTTGACTGTGCCTTCTTGGCAGCTGTACTGTCTAAGCAGCAGTAGACAATTTTGTCTAAGCAAAGTAAAAATGGAGAGGAATGGGTTACAAATGTTCCACTGGGTATGTAGGATATCTAGATGGTGTCCCGCTCAAGAAAAGGAAAGCGCCCAGGGATGTTAAAGTCACACACATAGGGTCTTTAAGACATTCTACGATAACACTAGTAGACACCAATTAACTGACAAAAAGCCTTGGATATTAGTCCTAAAGTAACTCTTGGATACTATTATTTTTCAGTGTACTGACTCTTACACTTATTAACCATGTGATTCTGGGCAGGTTACTTAACCTCTCCCGGCCTCTATGATCTCACCTGTAAAACTGGGATAATGACCTACTGTATACAGTTATTGTGAGGATTAATTAAAATAATACATGTAAAGCAAAAGGCACCCAATAAATAGTGCCTAATGTAAGCTACTGTCATTTTAAGATTGGGAGTCTGGTCAATTCTTCATTGAGGCCACTTAATTGACACTGTTGACTGTGCTGTCTTGTATGAGCAGCTGGTAAAAGAGACTAGTGAAATGGTCTTCCTAAATAGTTTTCCTTGGGGAAAACCGCTCAGATTCTGGTTTTGCCCATCTTAAGGGTGCTTGGGTCTCTAATTCCTAATTTTCATTGCATTAAAATCTTGATCAGCGTTTCTCTCTTCACCCTTCAAGCAATATTTAATCTATCTTGCTATACAGTTGTTTTCAAGGACTTAAAACATCTCAAAATACTCCACACACACTTTTATAGGGCAATTGAATTATTTACTGTCCTCTGACAACCATGGCCATCTGTGTGTTTCATCGTCTTTACGTGCCCTATTCACATCATCTCTGTAAAGTATAAGCTCCTGAATTGTAAATATCTAGAAATAAACAATGAGCTGCATTAGTCAGCCTACAGACGCGCAGTTATATTTCTGTTCATGTCAGTATCCTCATTCCATTAATTCAATTCAATTAACATGTAGATGTCACAACATGCCTAACAGTGGACTAGGAAAGAGGGGACACAAAGATGACTTTGAGCCTCTGTCCTCAAGGACCTCCATGGCCTGTCTCTCTTCGTATCAGGACATCAGGAGACAGAGACACAGACACATATAGAGTAACCACTTCCTATGGTAACGATAACAGAATCTGCATGACGTGCTATGAAAAGTGATGAATTTTGCTTGGGAACGGTGGGAAGCATTTGTTACAGTGTCACCTGACCTGGGTACTAAAGGATGGATAGGAGTTTCTCAAGTGGAGAGAAAAGGAATATGTTCTTAGGTTGAAAGGAATAGCAGGAGTAAAGGAAGGCCTGAAGTATGGAAGTGTTTGGCTGCTCAGGGATTCACAAACTGTCCAATGGGGTTGGAACACTTGGTGTCTGGTGGGCATTGAAGGCTGAGTCTCCAAAGACAGACAGGAAAAGATTCAGGAATTGAAGAACCTTGTGTGTCACACTGAGGATGCTAGAATTTACTCCATAGACTATTTGAAGCCCTTAGAGGCTCTTTGGCAGTGGGTGACCTGGGGCTGTTTTGGGGAGAGACCAGAGTCTGGTGTGGGAGGGACTGGAGTCTGGGAGGGGAGCTTAGTGACTCTTTCAACAGCTCCAGTTATGAGATAAGCCTGGTTGACACTAGTGGAGAAAAAGGAGAGGTCCCACTGATGGGTGGGTAAGAGGTGGGACCCAGAAGAGTGGAGGCTGACTGGGAGTCAGAGGGAGAGATGAGCTCTGGATGGATCTGAGGTTCCCCACCTGGCCAACTAATTGAATGGTGACACCTTTGTAAGGTAAGAATACCACTTATCATAAGGAAAACAACGTATGATTTCTGCAGCACAAAGCACAGAATAATTTCCTCTTTTTCTTAAAGTTTCCATTTATTGAGTGCTTACCGAAGACTAGTAGGCACCCAACCACGACTTCATTGCATTTGGTACTTTCAACATCACTACAGTATTATTAACCTCACTTTATAGAAAGGGAAACTGAGGTTTGGCACGATTAAAGCAATTTTCCAAAACAATCACAGATACCAAGTAGCGGGAGAGGAGATTCAAACATGGCTTTGACTCCGAATCCATTCTCTTTACCTCCTGTTGCTCTGTCTCCCTCAGTGTCACTGACAGCTGTAACCCAGAGCCATGATGACGTTCACCAAATTCTCAGGGAAAGAACTCAATTCTTTATTCCCCTGTCCCTATCATTCGCTCTAATACTCAGAATGTACTAAGTTCTTTTCATCTACCTCAGAGCCCCCACTTTACATATGATCTGTGAGTTTCTCAGGATCAGAAATCGACCTGAGCATTTTCCCTCCCACAGGCCCTTGTGGGTATATTCAAGTTTGGAGGGTGGTGAGGGCACCGGAGAATACTAGCACACGTCTACACTGCATCTACTCTGGGGTGTTCTGTTCTTGCAAAATTTCTGTTATCCAAAAACTGACATGACTGATCACTTTAAAACTTTCTTAGAGAATGACAACAGTGGACTAACATGATCAGAACTGCAGAATCCAAGGTTAGTTCTCCAGTTTGTAGCCTCTGGAGTTGGTACAGTGGATCCTGATGAGGATTCACGGATTCAGTATGTGCAAATGTGCTTTACTTGCCAAAATGTATTTGTAACCCCCAAATCAGACCTTGTGGTGCTTTTGTAGTGACTCACAGGCATGTGCAGAGTACTGAAAACCTGATATGCACACATTCCCAGCTGAAGTGGAACAAGGCAATGTTCTGCCTTCTCGTTTCAGCTCTCATCACTGTAAACAAGTGTCCTCACCATGGTCTATTATTTAGTGCGACAGTTTTTGTATTTTTGTGACTTTTGTTGGTGATCTCACTGTTTCAAATGGCCCCAATTGTAGCACTGAAGTGCTGTCTACTGCTCCTAAGCACAAGAAGACTGTGATGCGTCTTACAGAGAAAACAAGCATGTTAGATACACCTCATTCAGGCATGAACCATAGTGCCGTTACTCAACCAGCGATAATTATTAAATAAGATCTCTTTAAATAAACACGCACATAAAACAAAGTTATATACTGATCAGCTGATGAAACTGTTGTGAACAGAGGCTCTTAAGAACCTAGCTCTGTATTTCCCCTAGGAGGAATGTTTTAATATTCTCAATGTGGTGCTCACAGTGACTTTATAGAACACAACGATGGTGAATAATGAGAATCAGCTGTTTTGAGGGTGGCGCGGGTGACAAACTAGATCTGGCGTCAGAGGCTTGGATTGTAATCCTAGGTTTCCAACTGAGCTCACTGTCCAACCTCTTTGTAAAATAGGAATGATATTAATATTTGCTGTGGCCCCATGGAGTTATGAGGATAAAATGAGATAATTAAAAAAAGCACTTTTCAGAAAGTTGAGGGTGCTACAAAAACATTAACAATGCTCTTCAACTAAGGGTGTGGGAAAACTGGATTTCTACATGCAAAAGAATGAAATTAGATCCTTGCCTTATAGTATATACAAAAATAAACTCAAAATGGATAAAAGACCCAAATACAAGACCAGAAACTATAAAAGTCCTGGAAGACAAAGAACACAGGGAGCATGCTCTGGACATTGGCCTTGGAAATAATTTTTTAGGTACCATAAAAGCTCAGGCCACAAAAGCAAGAATAAATAACCCAATGTAACAAATTTGTACTGTACTTGAGATTAAGGATATTGAGTAGATTTTAGCAGCTCTTACTACATAGAACAACAACAAAATTTTCAGGCCACAAAAGCAAAAATTTTAAAAATGGAACTGCATCACACCAAAAAGTTTCTGCATAGCAATCAACAAAATGAAACAGCAATCTATGGTCTGAAAAAAAATTTTTGCAAACCACGGGATTAATATCTAAAATATATAAAGAACTCATACCCTTCCACAGTAGAAAAACAAATAACCCAATTACAAAATGGGCAAAATACTTGAATAGATACTTCTCCAAAGAATATCAACACATATATAAAAATATACTCAACATCATTAATCACCAGGGAAATACAAATCTAAACCACTATGAGACACCACCTGACATCAGTTGGGATGGCTGTTAGCAAAAGGTCAAAAGATAACAAGTGTTGGTGAGTGTATGGGAGAAAGGGAACCCTTGTACACCATTGGTGGGAATGTGGAATGGTATAGACATGGAAAACAGTATTGGAATTTTCCTAGAAAATTAAAAATATGACCCAGCAAACCTTCTCCTGGACATATGCCCAAAAGAAATGAAATCAACATCTTGTAAAGACATCTGCACTCCCACGTTCATTGCAGCATTATTCCCAATAGCCAAGACATGGAAACAACCTAAATGTCTGTCAACAGACAAGTGGATAAAGAAACTGTGGTATATTATTGGATAGAATATTACTCTGACCTAAAAAAGAACAAGATTTTGCCACTGCCACAACATGGGTTAGTCTGGAGGGCATTATGTTAAGCCAGACCCAGAAAGAAAAATATTGTAAGATCTCACCTACATGTGGAACCTAAAATAAAGAAAAATTCAAATACACAGAGCTAGAAAACAAAACAGTAGCTACAAGGGGTGGGGAGTTGGAGTGGAAATGGGGTGATATAGCTCAGATGTTACGAAGTAGCACATATGTAGGATGAATAGGTCTAGAGATCCAACACAACATGAGGAGTACACAGGTGACAGATTTGTAAGGTACTTGAGAGTAAGGCTACTGAGTAGATTTTAGCAGCTCTTACTACAAGAACAGCAAAATGGGTAACTATGTGAGATGATAGATACAGCTTCACTATAGTAACTTTTAACTATCTATATATCCTATAACTTCACTTTGTATACTTTAACTTTACAAAACAAAGTTTAATTAAAATATCAACAATAAACACATCCTTCCTATATTTGGCACACAGAAAATTTCAAGGTATTTTTAATGTGTTATAATTATTTTACTTTGGACTTTTTTTAGCAAAAATTACCACATTTTATGATTCTAAGACCCACAGTTTTTCATATTTAAAATCCATGGACTTTGTGTTCAAAGGTAATTAAAATGTACAATTATGATTTCTTCTTTCTTAGTGGAGCATAAAGATTGGTGTAGCTTACATCCACTGGCATCTTAGATTAGATGAAATATGGTTATTTTATATTTGTCCTCCTTTATGAGTTCTCCTTAGTGTTGACTAAGCTTCCTAAGCAAATGTGACTACTCTAAACTGACACTCTCTCCAATGAGAAGTTCTATGCACCATTTTCCTTCTTTTAAAAACCCCTCATCCCTTCATGCTCCTGATTCAAAAGTCTTCTGCTTTTGTGGCTTTTTTCTTTTAACATAATTTCAATTCCTTTTCAAAAAATTTTACTTCTAAACACTTTCTAATTTTCTAGTGTGGTGATCCAATACAGAAGAAAATGTGCTAACGCTATTTGATTGGGATAAAATTTGAATTCCCTACACCTGCAACTGACTCTGAAAAGTTAGAGGGAATTTTCCAGAAGTCCCTACCTTGTATGTAGCTGATCATCAAAAGACTGTTGGATACTTTACAAATAATACCGTAACACTGCCCCTCTCAGAGCAGTGCCAGAAATAGTGCCTGCCCACAACTTCTTTGTTTTGGTATGGTTTCTCACCTTTTCCCTTGAGAGATGCCCAAGTGAAATCATTTTTTCTTGTAGACTGATAGGCTTGTTTATTTTTAACTCTCATTTCAAGAACTGCTCCCAGGTATAAAGGCTTTATTTCAGAAAAAGAAAAAAAAATCCTCAACAGCACTCCTCCGGAAAGGCAGGGACACGACCGAGGAACACTGCCTGGGCTCTGACCTGCAGCAGCTGACCTATCTCCTTTTCAACCTTATTTTCTGTGCTACCTGCTGAGCGTTGCCTTCTCCTTTGTATTCATCCATCCTGCTTGGCTGTAAAAAAGTGATTCCCACAACTCAGGTAGATTCTACTAGAAGAAAGCCCCAGGTCCTTCCACAGAAATGTATTGGCCTCTAGAACGATGGGGTCCTGTTGAGACCACTGCTTAGGGAAAATCCATCCCAAATTATGTAGGAGAGTTACTGTAGGACAAAACATTTTTATTCTATGCAAAATCAGTGTACCACATAGCACACTTTTCTTCAAATGATAACAGATACCCCTCTACCCAAAATGCACAGCTAATCAAGTAAAAAGTGGATCCCTGGGTGTCACTCACAGGCTGGTTTATTGTTTAGGTAAAAATGGGCATTGACAGGTAAGGGCAAGAGGGCAGTGGCTTCTCGCTTTGATCAAGTTTTCACCTCCAAGTGACACTTTAACCTGTTTTCCAATATTAAGTGGTCCCTAGGTCACAAATACGTGATAAGTAATCATAAAAAAACTATTATTTTCTTCATTGTATACTATTTTTACTATGCATAATTAATAAACTGGCTTTTCATCCATATTGTTGGATGTATTACTTAACGTAAACACAGTTATCCATGTGAAATGGTTGCTGGTTCAAGTTCGGGGAGGGGGCTGTCAACAGGGTTGAATGTTTACAGTAATAGGACTGATCATCAGCCTAATTTCAACCAGTGTCAATTCAATGTTTGATCATCAAGAAGCCTCAAGAAATGGCAGCATTTCCATCTTTCTGGGAAGTACAAAACACAATGATTAGTGGCAAGCCAACACTGAGTGAACCCCTACCACAAAGCACCTGACCTGCTATGGGTTCGGTAAGTGAGAGTGGGACTGAAGCCCAAGTTTGCTTAGGACACATCAAGGACATACAGCTTGCCAAATATTTAGGATCAGGAATTAGACAATACTACTTGGGACATTTGTGTCCACCTGTCCTTGCACTCTGAAACTCTTTCCCAAGATGAGATCACGGAGTGCCACTAAGCACTTCAAAAGCTAGGAAGGCTCCTTTGGTTATGGTTCTGAGTGGCTGACAAAAGTCTCCGTAGCTGGATGACCTCTAGGACACGATTTTCTGCCCCAGTTAAAGAGGGGCAGTGGGGGTGACAAGAAAAATACCCGTGAGATAAACCCAGAGTGAACTAAGCATGGGTTACATAGCTGTGAGATTTGTAAAATCCCACAGTGTGCTAGCTGCAACCATGTCTCGGACTTGGGGAAACCAGGAGCGATCTGGTTCCATTACATTCTTCTGGGTTCTACCCAGTGTCCCTCTTGTAGTTGGTGCCTGCCTGGCGTGGGAAAACACTACGCGTCTGCATCTAACTCCAGGGCTCCAATGCAAAAAGAGAAAATGGATTTGCTGCACCTCTTACTTCCCCAGCTCCACAAGACAACTGCACTTAATCTAATTCCAAAATGTTCTGAACCAAACCTCAGCTCTATTTGGAGAATTATTTTAAATGATAAGCCTTCTTTTTGCTTCCTTTGTCTACTAATAAACAAGTGGGTAGCTTTCTTTAACATTTCCTTCTTTCTAGATCAGCTGCCAAATTGAGTGATACAAACATACTGTATCAAGAAAAGAATAGAGCTTATATTGGCTAGGTGCAGTGGCTTGCGCCAGTAGTCCCAGCACTTTGGGGGGCCAACGCGGGCGGATCACCTGAAGTCAGGAGTTCGAGACCAGCCGAGTCAACATGGCGAAACCCTGTCTCTACTAAAAATACAAAAAAAAAAGAAAAAGAAAAAAGTAGCCAGGCATGGTGGTGCGTGCCTGTATTCCTAGCTACTCATGAGGCTGAGGCAGGAGAATCGCTCGAACTCAGGTAGCAGAGGCTGCAGTGAACCAAGATCGCGCCACTGCACTCCAGCACAGAGCGAGACTCCGTCTCAATTAAAAAAAAAAAAAAGAATATAACTTATATTTATACATACGTATCGGCATTAAAATTTTAAAATTTTCTATGTATGATTTATTTTGAACCCCGATATATTAGAATAGTAGTACATGTATGCAATTAACCAATAAATGTGTAGATTGGTGGGCACAAGCTTCAACACTTTTTAGCAACGACTGCACAATTAAAAAGGTTTGAAGAGATTGTTCTTGTTAATGATCTTGTCTTCTGTAAGCCACAGATATACAGGAATGAATTCAAAGATAAAAGTAAAATCAGGGCCGGTGCAGTGGCTCACTCCTGTAGTCCCAGCACTTTGGAAGGCCGAGGTGGGTGGATCACCTGAGGTCAGGAGTTCAAGACCAGCCTGGCCAACACGGTGAAACCCCATCTGTACTAAAAAATACATATGTATATATATAAACTAGCCAGGCGTGGTGGTGGGCGCCTGTAATCTCAGCTACTCAGGAGACTGAGGCACGAAAATCGTTTGAACCCAGGAGACGGAGGTTGCAGTGAGCCAACAAGGTGCCACTGTACTCCAGTCTCAGTAACTGAGACTTTTTGAGAGAGTCTCAAAAAATAAAAAATAAAAAAGACTTTGCAACCCAGAGAGAATGTCTTGCCAGAAAGATGATTTTACTACTCTGAAAATCTAGTGTCTCTAAGAGGCAGGAAATGCCTCATATTTAGCCAAGGCCAGCCACAAATAGTTTGGGGCCGGTTGAATTACCGGTCTATCTTTGACCTATTAGTTTCATAGTTTCTTAATAACGGTAAAGCACAGTGTACATGCTAAAGAGATTATGCTTGTTGAAACTTAAAAGAAAAGGCAGGGAAAGTTAATGAAATAGAAAAAACCATTTCATTTGTTCAGTGCTATTTGAGTTCTGCCTCTCAAAGTATTTCATTTTAATTTCTACCACTGACTAACAAAATGCATAGGATCAAAGTTTTTAAAAATTCAAAACCCATTTTAAAGGAACAGGACCACTTTTTAAGAAAATAGGCTTATAGCACTTGACCTATTTCATTGTCAAAGCAGCACATCTAGAAATTATTTTTATATTGATAGAGACACCTTTTAATAGGACTATGGCGTTCTATATACAAGGACACGGTAGCTGGAAGCAAATAGGCTAGTGGCTCATCCTACAATTTCTGTTTGGCACTGGATGGGCTAACAAGCCCATGAGCATGTCTGTTTTTTCCAACTTTTCTACATCACTGGCCAAAAAACAAAAAAAGCCCACACATACATAACACATACACATACATGAGTACAGAGATACAGACAGACAGATGAGACAAGTGAAAGAAAGAAGGGTTGCAGCTGTCTTGCAAGGAATATGGCAGGATACCTGGGATGCTCTCTAATTTCCTTCTGAGCTCTTCATTTTCTTGTTGCAGTGAAATAACCTCCTGCTCCAGCTCCTGGCATCGAGGACAATAGCCTTCCTCTTCCTCCTCCTCCTCCTCTTCTGGCAGTGTAGATGAAGATGGGTGGCCATGGGATTCGGACGTTGCTGGGGAAGTCCAGCCACCTAATGTATGCACAGGAGAGGTTGACAGAGGATCCACATCGGCCAGGTGGCCATATTCACTGGCTGACGAGGGGTTTGGAGTCGGAAAGCTCCCCGAGAGCAGGTAATTTTGTAGAGAATCAGTGAAAACCCTCAAAAAGGCAGAAGTTTGTTGTTTTCTTTGCATATATTGCATCTCTATGTCTACATTGTCTGAGGTCTGACTGTGGACCCCCTTCCCAATGTGACAGTGCTCCTGTCTTTCGTTGTAACTTGAGCCTTCTTGCTTTACGCAAGAAATCATGGACTGAGAATGGTTGGAGTCCAGGAGTTTTCCTCCACAATTTAAGAGGCTAAGAACTCGACTGCACTGTTGGGCAAAGGCATCCAAGATCATTCGACTCTCTGAAACAAATGAAAAGACACATCAGTGACCAATAGCCAACAGCAAAATATAAATAAAGTCCTCAATTTTGAGCTCAACATTCAAACATGTTAAAAATATGTATTTCTACTCTCTGTCATAAGCCAAGACGACACAGTAAATCCACTATGAATAGAATGCATAGCTTCCTGTTGTTCTGCGACTGCGGGATGCTAGATGAGTCACACCCAGTCTCTTGCTCTAGGAAACGGCTGGACTGTGACTTTGGGCACCATATAGAGATTTTCCTCTCTGTGGCATTAACTGGCTGCACAGGTCTGAACTCACACCTTTGGTTTCATTAATATCCTTACTCTAACGAATCGAGTCAGCCACTGCAGACTCAATTCCTCATTGATAGGAGGGCTTAAAGCAATCATTACTTCTATTTCTGGAGTGCCCTCATGCCCTTGTGATTAATCAGCTGATACAATCCCTGCCGAGAGTACATAGCTCCCAGATGCAAACTGGAAAAGAAAGATAAGTCTTTTTGAAGAGCTCACTAGAAATCTAAGGTAAAGCAAAGAGTGGGCCTATGGGCACAGGATGAACACAAAACTGTACGTGTCTTCTAACATCTGTGTTCACTATTCCTTCTTTTCACTTATTTGCTAACCTGGATTTCTCGTCAAGGCCAATGTTTAGGCTAACCTGATCATTTGAAAATCAGTAGTATCACTTCTTAGAACCTCTTCCGGTAGACTGCCAAATATTCTAAAATGGCACAAGGCACGGGTGCCTCTTAGCCCATGTACATGAATTCTAAAGCATATTGTCAACCACTGAAAGCAAAAAGCAAACAAAAGCAATCAACTCACTGCAAAAACAAAAGGGGGAAAAACCCAAATTGTGAAAATGTAATTTAATGATATCGAACGGTCTTGAAAATTTACCCTAAATATAAATGTCACGAGGTAGATTCACTTCTTTCCTGATTGCCACCTAGAATGGGCTATTATAAATACAGAGAGGGGCACTTTTCAGAGCTGACACAGAAGCATGAGGATGTCTCTTATTTCCTCTCCCCTTTCCCAGAATAATGGCAACAAACAAAATATTCGAGATTTTAGATGCCTATAACTATTGTTTAAGATAAAAATGCAACTAGCACTAGCTCTCCCTGAAAATGTTGACTAGCTGTATTTTTTTCGGAAGGAAAAAAAAACTTTCAGAATAAAAAACGGTGAGATGTTCAAGGGCTGCTATAGGAATAATGAGCTAGAACAGCTTCAATAAGAAATTCCCTAGAACACACCCAGGATGTGAGACCAAGGAAACCACACTTCAGGAGAACTCCATGCAGTGCTCAACATTCCACTGTGTTCTTTTTTCTTGCTATTCTTTCATGAAATAACTAAGATAATCAGAGGAGAGGGGTCCAAGTGCTCTTTTCCAACTTTTTAATAAGAATATATACGTAAAGCAGCTGGGTATGGTGGCTCACACCTGTAGTCTCAGCACTTTGGGAGGCCAAGGTGGGCGGACCATGAGGTGGGAGATGAAGACCATCCTAGCCAACACGGTGAAACCCTGTCTCTACTAAAAATACAGAAATTAGCTGGGCATGGTGGCGCATGTCTGTAGTCCCAGCTACTCAGGAGGCTGAGGCAGGAGAATCACTTGAACCCAGGAGGCAGAGGTTGCAGTGAGCCGAGATGGTGCCACTGCACTCCAGCCTGGAGACAGAGTGAGACTCGATCTCAGGAAAAAAAAAAAAAAAAAAAAAGAATATATATGTAAAGCCCATATAGCACAGTGTTTGGCACATGGGAAGCATCCCTTACATCTCCCAAATCCTGAATCCCGCTGAAAAACTGCAAGTCAGAACAGAGGCCTGATCTCTTCTACTCAGTAGAGGATCAGAGGATCATAAACTGCACTGGAGTGTGAGAGGCCAGCACAACGCCTTGAGAAATAGTTACTGAACACATAGCAGGTACTCTTGTACATACATAGAGCATCTCAGTTTATAGCATTATCAGATTTACTTGACTGGGGCAGGGGTAGCAAGTCCACCCTAGGCTGGTTGAGAGTCCATAGGACTATTTTCTTCTTAGGATAGTACTTTCTTATTCTTAGGAATTCCCATTCTAGACCCTCAGACCTTGGCAGCAGAACCGCCACCTGACCCTCCTTCTCCAGCCAATCCTGTCCCCATGGCCAAGTACCCCAAGATCCAGGAATTCCCCACTCAAACTGCTTTAAGGATCTATGCTGCCATCTTCTCTTTAGCCATCAATTCAAAGACAGTGATCATGGTGTCAGATCCTGGAAGTGGGAACTGGGACCTCCATATATGTATACATGAGGTCCCTCCTGGTGAAAGATAAAGCTGGGAGTAGGGAGAGAAAGACATGGGTTGGCTGTAAATTCCAAACCTGGCTACCATGAAGGTGTATTTGTCAAGGTAGGTGGATGGAACATATTTTGTTACACAATTTGTTAGCTTGATGATTTATACTTTGTAACTAACTGATACATGCTCTGTGAGGCACCATCTGTACTCTTAATCTGGTGTCTCACAAAAATATTTGGGTGCCATTTATTTACAATGGCCAAAACCAAATAATAAGAAAGCCAACGGCTGAACTATACAAGTAAGAGGTTTAAGATGTTACACTCATTTTTTTTACTTCCTGGTTTCTGTTCTTTTATTAGTAAAATCAAAGGATGATATTGATTAGGAATTTTCAATTCCAGCACAACAGCAGTTTTCATTCATTTTAATCCTGTAATCCCATTCTAGACCTGAAGTTGCATTTACTGTTTGCATTTTAATCAGCATAGTCCAACATAACCTTGATGAAAGGGACAAAATATGAAAGTCTAACACAGAATTGCCTGGTAAGAACTGCTTGAATGTATTTGTTCGGTGTCCTACAATACACTCAGTAGTTTTAATCATATTGATAAATCACATTAGAGCATAGATTTTAAGGGAAAAAAATCTGACTTAGGGACAAGCGTGATTTGTTTTCTTAATTGAAGGATAAACTTGTAACATGCTGAGAAAAAATCATTATGTGATATACTACATTATGAAGATAATCTATTAAAGTGCACTCAGAATATGAGAGAATAGCTACAATCATAAAGTAGTTCTTGCCTGCAGTTTTTTAAATGCTTCAATCTGAATTTGCTTTCAGAAATGATATGTACAAAAAGGGCTACTGTCACCCTTAAAGTTGAATTTTTTCTCTTCTCAATACCTTGAATTATTTGAATATTATTTTAACATTGATACATGGAAGAGTGTGATGAAAAATACTACCATTACATTTGATGGAAAATAGCAAATCTTTCCACCTAATACACATTGCATGCAGCAATAGTTTAGCCTTCTAGACAGAATATAATTACAAATGCAAGTACTGTGTGATGCCCATTATCATTAAGAAATGGACAAAAGTTCTGTTTTCATACGAGCACAATTGAATGGCTACTGATCTATGATTCTCAATTGAGCAAACTGTGAACATGTATCATGATTTTAACTTTTTTTTTTTTTTTTTTTTTTTAAGTCATAGAATGCTCCACTCAAGTGATGGCAGGGAAAGAGAAAATCAACAGTTTACAGAAGGACTACTTTATCCCTAACTTCCCTAAAATTAAACGCCATAAAATGTTAATAAATCACAATCACAAAGCCCTCCAAAATGCCCACTTCTAATTTATTTTTCTTTATTGTGCAGCCTATTGGGAGATAATATCATGCTGCAAATTGTGCCTTGTCCGATTCCAAAATCTGAACCCATGATTATTTTTTTAATTAAAAAATTCATTTCGAGAAATTCGTCTGAATTTAAGTTGTTTAATCCATCCTAAATCTGATAAGTGAGTAAGAAGAGGGATGGGAAGTAGGCAATCAAACAGTCTCCCTACTTTACCGCCCTTCTTTGTAAGTAAAGCCTTGAATGGAATTTGCCCATCACAGCAGATCCCCAAGAGAATTCTGTTTCTATGAAGGAGATCACAGTAGTCAAGATTAGTGGTAACCTTTTGATTTTAGCCCAGCGAAGGGTGAAATATATTAATATTAAAAATGCAGAAGCAGAAATTTTTTTAGTGACCTACTATCATGTATTCATATATTATATCTACCCAAGGATTTCTCACTAGTTCAAAATAGATGATTTCCTTAAAACATTAATTTAACTTCTTTTTAAGAGACGACTTCATGGCATAGAAAATAGAAGTTAGAAAACGAAAGCATCTTTGGAAGCACCACCCTTGTCTTAAATCAATGAACTATGTCTTTTTAAAAAAATGCCATCCAATTTTTTTTTCATAATGGCAAACATCAACACAGCAAAACAGGATGCAATTTTTCTAAATAAATAAATGATGTGTCAAAAATTAACAGATGAGTTAATATACTCGGTGCTATCAAAACCAGATGGTGCTTCCTAATATTCATCCTGCTCAGTCAATCCCTGAATATTTTCTGGACCATCGGTATATAAAATAGGATGCTGCTATTTGTGATGGCAAACAAAAGCAATCATGCCTGCCAAGCACATACTATAACAGGCAGCATTTCAGCTCTGCTAGACAGAAAGTAATTAGAATGCTTTTAATGTCCAAAAGAATGATGCTGATAGGCTGCCACAGATGTGTAGATTTATGAATATTTATATGGTGGTTTATAGCTGACACTTTTATCAGTTGAAGAAGATAAAATATCTGCCTGACTCAAAAGCTTGACAGTCAGGTTAATAAAATCTCATTAAAGAGAATGACCTATGCAATTATATAGGATTTATTGTAATTCATTTTTGATTGTACTCTGCTTAAAGATGCAATTTCCCATTTCCTGATGCCAAATTTAGGCTGCATATCAAGATCTACGTGGGTTTTAACTCTAAGCCTCCCACAGAGGAAAAATATGCTTTTAAAACCATGGTGTATTACCCCTTTTAAGGAAAATTATACTCTTCATGAGATTTTATAAGAATGTTGAAAAAAAATCTATTTTTAATCACATATTTCTCTTCTCAGTTATGGCCCTTAATGGCAACTAAGATTCACTTCAACCCTTTCATCTCTTCACTGCATTTACTCTGGACACTCAGTTACGTCTCTTCTTCTGTCCTTGACTCATTTCATCACATGAATGTTTTGGCTATTTTCAGTTTACCAGGTAGCCTCAGACACTGCAATTACACTTTTGCAAAGGTGCAACAGGCAAAGCACCACTCCCATCCCCCACCCCATCCTGTATGCTTAAATGGCCATGGGTCTGTGCACACAAGCTCATTGGTTCAAAGTGGAACGACTAATTTCTCAAAGAACCAATCAGCTCTTCAAGTGGTTGTGCCCCTGATGGCCACTCACAACACTGTGCCTGTTAAGAGATGGCTTTGTCCATCAGTGATTAACATTATGACCACAATTCATGATGTCTAATTCTATGGCTTTTTTCCTCCCAGACTATTTTCCTCACTGCATGGAAGAAACCTACCATCCAATTCCCATCTTTCCAACAAGCACGAGGCATCCAGCCCTTGGTGCTATCAAGCTTACCCCTCTCGATGACCTCCCTTAAAAACAACAAAAGCAGCCGTGAGAATAAAAGGAAATACAGAGAAGTTTGAAAGGCATCAAAAAAACCCCTCTTCACTCCTTTAGATTTAGTGATGTTATAATTTCCATCTGGGAACAGAGACAAAATAAACTAAACAGGACATTAGAGGGAACACTGAAAGAGAACATTGAGAACAAGGTGAGAAAAGGGAGGAAAAAAAATAAAACACTCCATGAATGAAGGACAGCAAGGAAACTGCCAGGGTAGAAGTGACCAAGGAAAGAACAGCAAGTGACTGGTGCAGAAAAAAAGAAGCAATACAGGAAATATATAGCCAGCTAAAACTATGGATGAAAATGGAAATGAGACGGGGGTAAATTTACAGTGTATAACAGGAAGTAAAATATGGAAAGACAGTCAGCAAAGGCTGGAAAGAGAAAGCAAGAGGAGATGAAAGACTGACCTGGGCAGATAATGAGGGGAAAACCTCAATGAAAATGATGGAACTGAGGCTATGCAAAAGAGTGAAAGCAAAACACAGAAAATGGGGAAAGGACTCAAATGGCTGGAAAACAACATAAAAATACAGGATGGTAAAGCTGAGTCTAGAAATAAACATACGCCTGAACAAGAAATAGTTTAGGAGAAAATAAGATCCCAAACCAGAAAGAAAACGAATCTCCTTAAGAAAGGGGGAAAAAAGAAGAAAAGTAAAGAGGAAAATCAAGTAAGCCAACTGCCTAACGAAGAATATAAAAACACAATGGAATACTGGGGCAAGAGCAACTGAAAAAAATATACCCCACAAACAATAAGGAAGCCCACCTAAGAATCCCACTGAAAGCAATCAACCATCTTCATATCAGTGAGAGATGTGACAGATCAAGTCTTCACTATAACCTGTAATTAGGTTTTCTTTTTCAAAACCAATCCTTCATGTGTCAAAATATTGACAAACAACAGATTTATTAGTGGAGGCATCTATAACTCATTTAGACACAACACTCTATTTCCCACAGGGGAAAAAAAAAAAGAGTCTCAGATTCACTGACATGCAGGATTTGGGGGGCTCCAAAGTGTCATAAAAGGCCTTGGCAGGAACTTTTAGTTCTAATGGGCGGATAAATGTGGCTGCACCCACTGGGAGCTGGTGGAGAGGTCCCTTGGGCTCAGGCCTCAGGCTGTGGCCTCGCAACCAGCCCATCTTGCTCCCTACAGGCAGGCAGTGGGCTGCTTTGCCCCGGCAGCGCCCGCGGACTCGGGATAAAGGAGAGGAGTCGCGGACCCCAGGGTGGGTGCTCCCCACGAGGTGTTTCTGTAGGGCTCAGGCGAGATGCTCCGGAGGGGCAGGGCCTCGCGGCGGGCAGGGACCAGGGGATGGCGGGGACGACGACGTGGGCGGTGGGAGCAGAGTGTCTGCGGCTCCCGGGCAGGGAGGAGGGACGGGTTGGTTCCCCGCGCCTCGCGAAGTCCACGGCGTGGCAGACGCGGGGCCCCGAGTCTCACAACCAGAAGGTGGGAGGGGAAAGGGACAGAGCAAGACAGAGAGCACCCGAGAAACACAGGCGCACATAAAAAGACATAAGGAAAAACGCAGCTGACAGCCAACCAGCGTGGACTGCGATAGTGTGAGAGTGCATCAAAGAGGTGGCGAAGAAAGCACCAGAAGGCAAAGGAGAAGTGGAGAGAAGAAAGAAATGGAGTAAGGAGACGAAAGGGAAGAAGCGGACGGAAAAAGTGAAGCAGTACTAGAGCGTCCCAGCGAGGCGGCCCGAGAAGCTCTAGCTTTTCCCGTAGCGGCCGCCGCTATCCCCCTGGGGCGTCCGGCCCCACTCCGTCCCACGCCCAAGCG